AAAAGCTGTATCTGCATGTGCAGTTTTTTTTTTTTTTTTTTTTTATCCTCACTCGAGGACAGTTTTTCATTTTTTGTTCAGATACAGTAGGAGGGAGAAAGAAGAAGGAGAGAGAGAGAAACATCGACGTGAAAGGGACACATTGAGTGGCTGCCACCCACACAGCCCAACCAGGGCTGGGGACAAACTGCAACTGAGGTACGTGCCCTTAGCTGGAACCAAACCTACGTCTCTCTGGACGGCAGGCCGATGTTCTAACCGCTGAGCCAAACCGGCCAGGGCTGCATGTGCAGTTTAAAATTAATACGTGCATGGCCTTTTTACACCAATCCTGTGAAACAGTATCTTCAGTTTTCAGAAATAATTAGCATTAATTTAGTCTGTTGCAAATTTCAGTTCTTTCTCATCAAGCACATATGTGTGACAAAAAAAAAAAACGCTGCTACTTCTGACCTCATTCAGCAATGAATAAATCAATCAATTTCTTATTAGGAAGACAAGATTTCTTTTTTTTTTTTTTTCATCACACATATTTCCTAAGAGCATAGAGGCTGTGGCACAGCCGGAGAGAACGTTCTTCAATGATTAGAATTGTTCTTTCCAGCTAAAAGATATGCAATTTCTTTTTTAAAATTTCCTCCTGTCCCTGTCCTCATCTTCCTTCCCTTCTGTTCTCTTTTCCTTCCCTTTCTTTCAGCACTGGTTTCCTAAAGAGACCATCATTTTAAAATCCAGAGAGTGAAGAACACCCTGCGGTCAAAAACCTCCAATGACTATAATTAAGAAAGTTTTCATCTACAAAGATCTGAAAACTAGTGATGGTTTTTGCCCTACTTAACTTTCTTTCTAGTATGTCAAATGTCAGGTTAGGCTGATGAGGGCTTGTGCAAATCGTTGGCTCTGGATCCTCCAGCGCTTATCTGCATTCTGATCAGTTTGGAGACCAAACTTTTGCCTACACTACGTTGAAAATAGTCATATAGTTTTATAGTGGTGGACCATTAGAATGGAAAGAAGAGTTGGACAAAATTTAGGTCAGTTTCTTTGTTTTACAAATGAAACTAAGGTTGAAAGACTCTAAGTGATTTCCCAAAGGTCACATAACTTACTGTCATAGTAAAATCTGATTTTTTTTTTCACATTTCAGCAGGAAGAAACAAACCCTCCAGGAAAAATGATCTTTCTCTTTTTTTCCCTTATCTATGTTTGTCTCCTACTTGTTATAATCAGTGTTTATGAATAAATTGTCTTCTGCAGGTTACTAAAAACTTGGAAATTAAATTGCCCTCTTAAGAATTAATTATGACATTAACCAGCATGGGCCTTCCTAACTGCTGAAAATTTTCCTTGAGCTTTTGAAAAAGCTTCTTTCACTTTGGTGGTCAAATTGTGTTCATGTGGGCTCTGTTAATAGGCACATGAAGTCACATGCTAATGTTGTGACATTGGACAATGGCATCAACATATATAGAGATAAAAAAGATTTCAAGAGAAGAGTTTGGACTGCAAATGAAAACAGGAGCAGGGGAGTTAAGTTGGCCTGTAGCCTGCTCAGAGCAGGAGAGAACAGAACTTAGCCAGGGAGTTGAGAATTGCATTTCCATTGCCAAGGTTCTACCTTAGGGAAAGGGTCCTCCTTTCCTGAATTTTCTTGGTTTCCTGGATTTCTTCTGACCTCTCAGGACAGTCTTTCATCTACTTGTTCCTTTCTGCTCTCCCATCTGACTTCCAAATGAAAGATTTGCTGAGAACTTATTCATTGTTTTCTCACTCAATGCAGGTCCCATGATGATCTCATTCATGCTGTTGAATTCCCAGATTCATGAGCCTGCCCCAGATCTCTTTTCTGATGGAAATATCCATCATCTCTCCATGTATCAATCTAAACGTCTAGTTAGATATCACAAGATTGTCGTTAACATGTCTAAAATTGTGTTCTTGATCTCATCACCGTAACCTCTCCCAGTCTGCTTCTGCTTTAGATTTCTCCGTCTCAGAAAATGGCACCTCCACTGCCCAGTTTCTTGAATCAGAAATTTGGCTTTCATCCTTGAAAACTCTCTTGTTTTCCTTTCAATCTCTCACCATATTACATTTTCACTTCTTAACTCTTTCTTCAAGTCAGCAGCTGCTCTTTGTCTTCACTACCACAGTCTTGGTCTATGCCATTCATTTTCTTACCTGGAAGATTATAACAGTCTTCCCCAGGCATTATTCTTTCACTTCAATGTATGTAGCAAGTGAGCATTTAAAAATATTGACTGCATCAGGATGCCTCCCTGCTTCCCTCTTCATCTTCAGTTTGTACCTTTGTCCCTTCTCTATGTACAGTCCCACCCCAATGGCTGCCTTCCTCCTAAAAACTGAGGGTTTCCAGCCTAAGATCCTTTATTTTCCCTCCATAACCCTTCTCTTCCCCATCTCTCACAACTTCTACTAATTCTTTAGTCTGTTTTTAAATGTCATATCTCAGAAACATCCTCAAAGGCATCCCCTTATCTATAAAATCGGATTTAAGAATACCTTGATAGCCTGGCTGGTGTGGCTCAGTGGTTGAGTGTCAACCCATGCACCAAGAGGTCACTGGTTCGATTCCAGGTTAAGGCACATGCCCAGGTTGTGGGCCTGATCCCCAGTGGGAGGTGTGCAGGAGGTGGCCAATCGATGTCCTCTCTCATTGATGTTTCTATCTCTCTCTCCCTCACCCTTCCTGTCTCTCTAAAGTCAATAAAGAAAAAATAAAATAAGAATATCTAGACATTCTCTTGTATAACTTCCTATTTTTTCTTTCAATGACTAATTTCTATATATAATTATAAGTGCATTTGTGCGATTTGTCTTCCAGCATAGCTATTTCACTTTTCTGCCCAGCAATCAGAACAGTTCCTGGTAAGTAGTAGACAATACTTTTTGAATGACAATGAATGAGCTCTCTTAGCTGAAGAAATTTTTATAGTATAAATTTTTGTTTACTGTTCTAATCAAGGTACCCTTTTGGTTATGATTTGTCTTCCCACATAGCTTGATAACTAGGAGAGAATGCATTGATCATTCAGGTGAAAGATAATTCTTAGCTTAAAAATTGATGTTTACAACACTCTTTCATTAACACACACACACACACACACACACACACACACACACAATCAAGAATAGAAGAAAATTATCTCAACACAATAAAATTCAGATATTTAAAACCCACAGCACACATTATACTCAATGGTGAAAGACTGACAACTTTTCCTCTAAGATCAGGAATAAGACAAGAATGTCTTCTTTCACCACTTCTATTCAACACAGTTCTGGAAGTTCTAGCCAGAGAAATTAGTCAAGAAAAAGATATACAAGACATCAAAATAAAAAAGGAAGGAGTAAAATTATCTGTTTGCTGACTAGATGATCTTCTATGTAGAAACCCCTAAATACTCCACATACACACAAATATCTGTTACAAATAATACATGAATTCTGCAAAGTAGCAGGATAAAAAGTGAACACAAAGTAGCAGGATAAAAAGTGAACACACAAAAATCAGTTGCATTTTGTCCTGGCCAGTGTAGCTCAGTTGGTTAGAGTGTCTTCCCTTACACCAGAGGGTTGCCGGTTTGATTCCTGGTCCGGGCACACACTCAGGCTGCAGGTTTGATCACCAGTTGGAGAACGTTCATGAGGCAACCAATAGATGTTTCTCACTCACATCAATGGCTTCTCTCTTTCTCTCTCTCTCTCTCTCTCTCTCTCTCTCTCTCTCTCTCTCTTTCTCCCTCCCTTCCTCTTTCTCAAATAGAAAAAAATCAGTTGCATTTCTATACACTAACAATGAATAATCTGAAGAAAAAAAAACTACAAAATAATTCTATTTAGAATAGCATCAAATATACTTAGAAATTAACTTAAGCAAGTAGGTGAAAGACTTGTACGATAAAAATTATAAAACATTGCTGAAAAAAATTAAAGAAGACAAAAATAAATAGAAATATGTCTCATGTTCATAGACTGGAAGGACCAAAAAGTAACATCCCATTTTAGTGAAATACATATAGTTATAAAGCACCTAGAGTAGCAAAGTTGGTTTTCTTTTGTTTGTTTTACCATTTATCGCCCCATACCCTTCGTTTTAATTTTCTTTCTTTATTGATTTTAGAGAGAGGAAGAGAAAGGGAGAGAGAGATAGAAACATTGATGAGAGAGAACATCGATAGGCTGCCTCCTGCATGCCCCGCACTGGGGATCTGGCTCACAACCTGGGCACGTGCCCTGACGGGGGATGAACCAGCGACCTCTTGGTGCATGTGTTGACGCTCAACCACTGAGCCACACCGGCTGGGCACCCCCATACTCTTCTTCACTTCCCTTCAGCCCCTAAAGTAGCAATCTTTTTCAAAGTTGGATGTTAGGAAGGAGGCTATTCTCTTTAATGATGCATTGTCTCCTTGATTTTATGTCATCTTTTTAACATTTCTTCCTCCAAATATAAGCCTTCCAGCATATATAGCATTACGGATTTTGAAAATATTTGTACTTTGGAATAACTGAAAGTGACAGAAGCTGCCAGAGAATATATGCTGTTAAGTTTGTGGAGCTCTGAAACAACATGTAGAAAACACTTTAGTGCAGTAAGAAAACATAGGCCACCATTTCCAATTCAAAATACCTAACAGTTTTTAGTGTTGTGTTCCTTGAATCATGTAGTGTGAAAAAAAAAAATGTACAGTTCTGAGTGCTGACTTTATTTTTCAGGGCTCAGAAAGTAGCGCTTATGTGAAATAAGTACATAATAATAACACACTCTAAAACTGGAACAGATAACATCAAACTTGAATTAGTTTACATGTGAAAAACCTGAAACTGGTAAAAAAACTTCTTCTTTTGTAAGTAAAATCCAATTAATCTTTAAACATTTTCTAAGCATTTAGGTAAAAACTATTTTTATTCTCTTTGTAGTATTTTCCTCTTGGAAAAACTTAGTTTCATTTGTATATTTTCCATGTTTTGTTTTGTTTTCGTCCTATATTAAAGTTACTATATTTTAAAAATCCATTATTACTTATTGGCAATATAAATAATTTTGTGCTTTTCAATGACACCAATGTCATGTTCCAGTTGCTTCATTTCTTCTTCTAGCCTCTGCTTGCGGATCTTCTTTGGTAAGGAATCGATGAAGACCGAGAGGGACTGGAACTCTTTATGCACCTCTTCCCAGTTCTTTTTCAGCCCCTGCAAATGGTAAAGAAAACTGTAAATACTACAGTAAACTGCAAAATTAAAGTAAATTATAGAGTAAATGTAAAGAAAACTGTACTGGTTAAAAGAAAACTGACAAAAATGACTTTTAAAATAATATTTATTTATCAAGTACTTGGCCACAGAAACAAAAAACACTGTACAGAAGCCAAACCCTGTCCTGATTTTGTGTTCAGTTCCCACTGGGAGTATTTATTTGCTCTGTTTTAAATGTTACTGTACTTGTTTTTACCATCCAATACACATACACAGAGTTATGAATAGTATAAAACTGAGCTCATAATAAATGCTTTAGTAAAAACAACTTAGAATTGATATCCTCAGACAAAAAAACAAACATTTTTTCCTTGGGATTTTCTTTTTAAACCATCATCCCCATTCTTCAACAAAGAAATTACATCAAAAGACTTAATTCTGCCTTGTGTGACCATTATTTTCTTAATCTGACTAGATGCAATTGTACAAAATGCCAAAATTCAATTTCACAAGAGATTATCATTTATGTCTCTTTCAGTGTATTAGAATTCTCCCTCCATAGAGCCAAGGGATCTATACTTTCCATTAATGTATTCTAGAAATGACTGAAATGTCATTAAATGTAATACACATGCTAATTTAATAATGTAGTTAATTTTTTATATTCTCAGTAACCAACAAATTCAAAGTTAAGGATCTCTTAGGAGCCATAAAGGTTATTTCCATCTCTGTGTTGTTACAATTTCTTATCACAGTGCGCTAGAGGCCCCATGGACAAAATGACATTAAACTACTAACTGAAGTCATGCAATGAAATTATTCACTATAGATGCACAAATCATTTTTTTTTGTTTTGTTTTACAAACAAAAAGTAAAACTGAACCTATAATAAAAACATTGCCATGATGATATGGTCCTTGAAAATCATGGCCATACATTTAGGTTTATGAGAAAATTAGAAGTGTCTTATATAATAATGCCTTCATAATAAACCCCTATAGTAAAAATTTAATCTTGTTGAAACTTCCAGGGACAATAAAATTTCAATGACTTATTTCCATGCTTAGTTAAAAAAAAAAAGAATAGGGCATACTGTGTAGAATAGGTTACTTGAAAGAAAGGATAACAAATTTTGAACCTTTGAGTGAGATTATATGAAGGCTTTGGGAAAGGAGAAAGGTAGAAGAAAAAGTATCTTACTTAAACTTTTAAGAAGGAGATTTTTTTTTTATCCCCAAAGACATTTTTTCATTTTTTGTTCAGATAGAGTGACAGGGAGAGAGAGGAAGAGAAACATCAACGTGAAAGGGACACATCAAGTGGCTGCCTCCCAAACGACCCCAACCAGGGTTGGGGACAAACTGCAACTGAGGTCCGTGCCTTTAGCGGGAACGGACCCTGGGTCTCTCTGGACTGCAGGCCGACGCTTTAACCGCTGAGCCAAACCGGCCAGGGCAAGAGGGGGATGTTTTAAAACAATTCTTAATAGTACATGAGCTACACTCCAAAAAGAAGTCTTCATAGAAATATTATTTTATTGTTTTTCATTATGGAATAGGAAATATGTTTCCATGGTGCTCCACAGGGGTGTCTATGGCAGAGAGGAAATGTATACACTTGCTATATCAAAGTTTTTTCATTTCTAGTTGGATGATGTTTTTTAAATTTTTATATTTTATTGATGTTTTAGTTGGGTGATATTTCCATATTATTTGTGGTCACAGCAGCTACACTTTTTCTTTGTATTTCCTCTTAAAGGATAGTTTGCTTTACCTTCCAGTGTGGACAGTAATGTTGGGATCGAAGTCAATAGCCAGAAATGGCGATTAAATGTAACTAATATTTCATATTATATTGAAATAACCTCTTTGCTGTTTTTTTTTTTTTTTTAAGAATTTTCTTATCTGATCTAGAAACTCTTTTATCCATTGAAACAATAGTGATTTCCTCTTATTTTTATTTCTGAATTTTTCTCTTCTTTATTTTAATGCTGAAGTAAGATTGTTAATTTTGGAAAAACTTCAAATGGGGAGAAGCAGACATAAAATAGTGCCTTTATTCAGTATCACGCTCCTTTTGTACCTACCCCACCCCCACCCTTTCTTCACCTTCTCATTTTGCACTGTGACTAGGGGTGGGGTGGGTTGATTTTTGTGGACTACCTCCTACCTCCCAGCTCTTTTGTCCTCCAGTCTCTGCCTCAGTTCAGTCAAAGGTAGTACTGGTGGGAGAGACAGATTGGGGCCTTTCTTTCCTTTCTCTCTTGAAATTACCTGACACTAGTCTTGGCTCATCCACCTGTGACAACGCCTGTCAGGTGGCCCGTCTTCCAGGCTCCAGCTCTCACTGGGCTCTGGTAGCAGAGTTCCTTGCCCTGCCCTTCAACCTTCGAGCCTCAGAGGGTGATGAATTCCCAAAGTCCTTAGTCTTGGGTGCCTCAGTATTCCTTGCTGGTTCCCTTAGCCCTACTTCACATCTGTGAGTAGTTCCCTCAAAACTCTCTTCCGAGTCCAGCTGAGTGTGCCTTCTATTTTCCTGCTGCAGCCCTGACCGACAGCTTCCTTTGGTTCCTTCCCATGCACATGTATATAACACAGCGGGGAAAGACTGGCCTGGGAATTGGTTGATGTGGATTTCAGTCCTTAGCTGAACAAGGACTAAAATCCACATCAACCAATTCCCAGGCCAGTCTTTCCCCGCTGTGTTATATACATGTGCATGGGAATTGGTTGATGTGGATTTTAGTCCTTGTTCAGCTAAGGACTGCATTTGTTTTGCTTACTACAGTATGCTCCAGGGTGGGTACAGTGCCTGAAATACAGTAGATGCTCAATAAATGAATCCATGGATAAATGAACCAATGAGCCTAACAAATTTGAATTTTATATCCTTGTCTGGAAATGAGAAGTTTGGGATGGCTAGTCCAGATGATCTCTTCCAGGTATAATGAAACAGTTAGTTTATGAAGAATGAGCAGAAGAATGTGGCTGCTCAGAGACATATAACCACGTTGTCATAGAACTATGTGCAACTCTTAACCAGGGAGGGAAGCATGGTTCATGGCTTGTCAGGAGCATAGCTAGTGGCTTTGTTTCCACAGTAGCTACACTACTACACTACCTGGTTAATAAGGCATCTGATGGAGGATCTACTATTGTCACTCGAAGGGTATTTGAAGAAACTCTGTAGTGACTACATTAGGAAGCAGTTTTTCCACTATAGCTAAAAAGGTGCAGGAGGGAAGAGCCTTTTCCTTCTGAGGGAAGTTCTTTTTCTCTTTTCCCATTTTTCAGTATCATTTAGATATAAAAATCTGACTTTCACAAAAGCATGTGTTTTCTCAGAATGGTAGAATCTGAGAGAGAGAGATGGGTCAAAGACCAGTACTCTTCCTGAAAGTGACATGAAAGCCCAACTCTAGTTCCACCAGTCTTCTGCCAGCTTGTCTTCCTCTCTTCTTTCCAGGACACCATTATGAAACGCCTATGTTCATGCAGGGCAGTGGTTTATGTACTGAGGAGACTGCTGTCAACCAAGAGACATAGCAGTACAGTCTCTGCCCTTGGGCCACTCCTAGGACCCAATCTTACTTGGCAGTTTAAGGCCCAGCTAATGACCTACCTATATCCTTCAGTGGAAACTTGTGCCTTGGAGTCTTATAAATCTTAGGATCTATATACACACACACTTTAATGTATTCATCAATTAAATGACAATATTCTTATTTTCATATATCCCTCTTAATATCCTTGGGGCTTAGCATGATACTCTTTGTGAAACAGACATTTAAAAAATCTTTGTTGCCCTAGCCAGTTTGGCTCAGCAGTTAGAGTGTCAGCCTGCAGACCAGTGAGTCTCAGGTTCGATTCCGGTCAAGGAAATGTACCTCAGTTGTAGTTTGTCCCTGGCCCTGCTCAGGGTTGGGCGGGAGGCAGTCAGTCAGTGTCTCGTTCACATCGATGTTTCTCTCTCTCTCTCTTTCCCTCTCTCCCTCTATCCTACTCTATCTTAAGACAAATGGAAAAATATCCTCAGGTGAGGATTAAAAATTAATTAAATAAAATAAAATCTCTGTTGCCCAGCCAATGTGGCTCAGTGGATTGAGCGTTATCCCATGGACTGAGAGGTCCCGGTTGGATTCCTGGTCAGGGCACATGCCCAGGTTGTGGGCTCCATCCCTAGTAGGGGGCGTGCAGGAGGAGCTGATCAATCTATCTCTCACATCAATGTTTCTATCTGTCTCTCTCTACAAAGAAAGGAAAAATCTTTATTGATGATTATTATAGCATTGAAAACTGTTAAGAATTTATAATGCATATGGATCCATTTCTCAATAGAAATTAATATGATAAGAAAAATTTTTTTTTTCTGTTTTAAAAAGGTCACTAGAAATGGCTTTGTAGAAAGCTTTAAAAAATAACATGTAGCCCTGGCCGTTTGGCTCAACAGTTAGAGTGTCGGCCTGCGGTCCTGAGAGACCCAAGTTTGGTTCCCGCTAAGGGCATGTACCTCGGTTGCAGTTTGTCCCCGGCCCTGGTTGGTCATGTGGGTGGCAGCCACTCGATGTGTCCCTTTCACGTCGATGTTTCTCTCTCTCCCTCCCACTCTATCTGAACAAAAAAATGGACAAATGTCCTTGGGTGAGGGAAAAAGAAAAAACATGTAAAGTACTATTTTTACTTCTATAAGAGATGGTATGACTATAGAAGAATATAAGTAGACCCAGATGATCTCTTCCAAGTATAAGGAGATGGTTATTTTATGAAGAATGAGCAGAAGAATGTGGCCTGCTCAGGGACATACAACCATTAATAAATATAACCCTGCTCATACCCCCAATATTTTAAATGCTTCGGATGAAATCTTGCATTAAGCACTTCAATGTAAATATTGCCTTAACTTTATTTTTTTCAAAAACAACGAAAATACATGTAAAACCTAATACCTGGTTACTTTAAAATTTTAACATTTGGCTTATAGGAAGGAAAAAAAAAAGTTGGTCTAGGGAGAATTTAAATTATTCTAGAGCTCCATCTAGTGAAAAATATCTATTTTATGGGTATCATAAAAAATAAAAAAAATAAAAAAATCAGGGCCATGAGAATAAAAATAGAAATGCTTTTTCCTTTATGTATGCACGTTTGTTTAAGGGGAAAGTAAGCTTCTTATAACATCAACTACTTCAGGAAAAAACAGAAGCTCACCAAATTGGAAACAAATAATAATCCCTATACTATAACTTTTAGTTTTCCCAAAGAGTCATCTTTGCTGCATGTAGTTGTCATCATAACCAAAACAGTCCTTGGATTTCTAAGTCAAAGTGCTGGCTTTATTAATTGTTGACGGCAGAACTTTCTTTAAGAGATGTTCTAAAGAGTTTTACAGAAATAGAAATTACAGAACACTTACCTGCAGCACTGCCTCCCTTTCTTCATCAGAAAGCCTTTTCATAGCTGCTTTCCTGAGGTTTTCTTGGATATAGTTATCATATTCTTCCTGGGCGTTTTTTACTTCCTCATTTCGCTTACATATATATTCAGGTGTGACACCATAATCCTTACAAGGATTTTTCAAGGAAAAAAACAATCAATATCCTGAATGTACCCTTATACACGTGTACATACCAACCAATGACTGGGAGAAAAAGAAATGGTACTGACTTAAAGCCTTAACTTAAAACTCACAAAATTCAGTGACCGTTTCCCCTACTGGGAACTAGTTGATCCCGGTCTTTTAAAAACCAGTTGAGCTGTTATTTTCGGCAGCTTGTTTCCCTCTTTTGAATGTTTCTAGCGCTTGCTCTTGGCTGACTCAGCCCTTACTTTACCTCTAAGAGTTGGCCTTTATTTCTTGTACTGCTTCAGCTTTTACCTTGAAATATCTTAAATATCTTGAGGACTTTTTTGCAAGGTCTTGTTAATTAAAATAAGATACTTCCAAGGCATTATAAAAAGCAGCTCTCAAAAGATACAAAGCACTTCTACTGTATGGAAAATTGACTTGGGATTCTAAGGTGTTTGGGGAAATGCAAGATCCTGGGCTGCTTACAAGGACTGATGGTGAAGTAATCAGCTGTGATTCTTTCAGAGTAGTGAATGTGTATGATGGATATCACTGTATTGAGAAACGACGACTCCTTATTTATTATTCAAAACATTATTTGTACTTGGTGCTAGGTATATTAGTGAATAAGAAAGGCAAAGTTTCTGTCCTCATGGAATGTGCATTCTATGGTGAGAGAAAAGCACCAAAAATAGGGTATAAAATTATATATATTCATTGCAAGGTAAAATAAAAGTCAATAAGGGGAAAGAAAGAATAGGAGCTATTTTAGATAAATAACAAGATCAGGGAAGACCTCTCTCAGCAAACAGCTGTTGAGAGAGATGGTAGTCATTAAAACTATTAACAAATATTCTGGTTCTTCTCCCTTTGGGCACAAGGAAGGACAAACTTTCCTGCTCCCTTTGAAGTAAGATGTAGCTATGTTACCTGATTTGCCCACTGTGAGTGGAAGCGACCTTTTGGGTAGATGCTTTAAGAATTAATGGATGGCTTGCCATATTCTTTTTCTGTCTGGTATAGTGATGGGAGATGTTTTGGGTTGCCTGGGTCATGAAATGAGGACAAGAAGCAGAGCTTCCAACAACCTTTAATGGACATGTGGCATAAGCAAACAATAAAACTTAGTTGCTTTTAGTTACTGAAATGTGGGAGTTATTTGTTACCACAGCATAACCCAACCCATTCTGCCTGTATAAGGGATAGAAATCCTAGCTGTAAATGTGTTCTGAAAAGTTTCAAAGCACTCTACAAATAAACGCAAAGAGTGCAGTATGCTTGTTAGGTCACTGGTAAACAGTCCAGTCTATTCCAGAAAACATGGAGGGCAATACCTCATTACTGCTCAGAACAATTACTGATAGTCATAATAATGATTTTGTGTCATCAAAAAAAGATTAAATTATATTTGTCATACTCTGTTGAATAAAAGGAGTGACATGACACATTTTAGGAAAAACAACAATCTCACAAATGGCTAAAAGCTTCAGTGATCTGAAATATTCCCATATGTTGGATCATTGAAGGCTAATGCCATACTGTTGATAATAATAACTGCATATACTATAATATCTACTCTTTACTGAATTTTTACTAGGTGCCAGGTATTATGTCAAGTGTTTATTATATTTTATATCACTTATTCCTTACTCCAATCACGTGATAAATCTAATAACTTGTTAAAGATCACAGAGTTAAGTGGCAGTTAAAATTTGAAATGATGTCTTACCGCTATTGCTATATACCTCAGGCACTCATTCATGCTTTGGTTTGTTTTTACAAATTATTTCTCATGGCACAAATGGGCATATAATATTTTATTTGGAATTAAAACATGAAATTTATTTTACAAATGCCCTTAAAAGGACTTACTATCTCACTCACCAATAATAGATTTTTTAAAAACTTAACTCTGATAAGAGGACAGTAAGTTAAGTCCTTCATGAACCTGGATTGCTTAGCCAGCAATAACAAGGAAATAATAATAGTGTAGTATTTGTGTGGCATGGTAAACAAGCACAGGTAGACATACTTAATATTTTTCTGTCTCTGTAATGTATTTTTACTACAATTTTCTGTTCAAGGCAGAAAATACATTGAAGTGGACAGCTTAGGCAAAAGGCAATCAGGAGGGGTAGACTGTATGGCAAATGATGGTATGACCGTCAAAGGAGAAGGGTTTTTACGTGATGGTGGAGAAATAATGGACTGGAAATAGCTTTAAAGAACCAGGAGAGTGAAATTTCTGCTTTTCCACACCCTATGGGACAAGGACTATGAGCAGCTTCCGGGAGCCACAGAAGGAGAAAGCATTCAGAGAAGCCTAGAGTAACTTAATTGGCGTGTGCTGCCAACTCCTAGATTCCTGCTCAAGTTTTCCAAATGTGTCTTAGCCAACTGCATGACAGTTTCTCAGGGAACAAGCAGTGTTCTCTGACAACAGCCTTGAGGTACCTGTTTTGATGTTGAACAGGCATGGATTTCTCACGGTAGATCACTGGACTGTCTCAACACAAGCCCTCATACATCATTAATGCAATTTTGTTTCCTTTTTTTTTTTTTTTTTTGCCACACGTTAGTATTGTGTATTATTATTCTTTAGGGTTTTGCACTCATATTTACTCTGTGTGTTTTAAGCACTTTTATGTTCTTTAAGCATACAAAGTAAAATAGGTTTGGGGTAAGGTATTTTTTGGTAAACTTTTTAAATTTCAAAGATCTTCTAATATTGCCCTGGCTGGTTTGGCTCAGCGGTTAGAGCATCAGCCCTCAGACCAAAGAGTCATGGATTTGATTTGGTCAAGGGCACAAACCTTGGTTGCAGTTCGTCCCTGGTTCTGGTCAGGGTTGTGCGGGAGGCAACCAGTCGATGTGTCCCTCTCATGTAGATGTTTCTCTCTCTCTCTCCCTGTCTCCCTCCCTCCCACCTATCTGAAGATAAGTAGGAAAATATCCTCGGGTGAGGATTAAAAAAAAAAAAAATCTATGTAGAGTGCTCATACAACTCAACAAAAGGAAGACAAAGAACCCAATTTAAAAATGGGCAGAGGAACTAGATAGACACCTCTCCAAACAGGACATACAAATGGCTAAGAGACATATGAAGAAATGCTCAACATCACTAATCATCAGAGAGATGCAAATTAAAACAACAATGAGGTATCACCTCACACCTGTCAGAATGGCTGCCATCAACAAATCATCAAACAAGTGTTAGCGAGTGTGTGGAGAAAAGGGGATTCTAGTACACTGTTATTGGGAATGCAGACTGGTGCAGCCACTATGGAAAACAATATGGTGCTACCTCAAAAAATTAAAAATTGAACTGCCATTTGACCCAGTGATCCCACTTCTAGGAATATACCCTAAGAAGCCTGAAACACCAATCAGAAAGAATATATGTACCCCCATGTTTGTAGCAGCACTATTTACAATAGCTAAGATCTGGAAACAGCCCAAATGTCCATCAGTAGACGCATGGATAAGAAAGCTGTGGTACTTATACACAATGGAGTACTATGCAGCTGTAAGAAAGAAAGCTCTCTTATCCTTTGAGACGACATGGAGGGACCTGGAAAGTATTATCCTAAGTGAAACAGAGAAAGACAAGTATCATATTATCTCACTTATCTGTGGAATATAATGAACATAACAGTCTGAGGAATGGGGTAGTCCCAGAGATGTGGAAGTGGAGTACAGACTGACAATCCCCAGAAGAGGGGATGGTGGGGGAGAGATAAACCACAGAATTATATGCATGTATGCATGAACAATGAATGGACATGGACAACAAAGTTGTGGACAGGGCGGGGGGAACAGGGAGGGGGTAATTAGTGGGGGGAAAAGGAGAAACATCTGTAACAAAAGTAAATTAATTAATTAAAAAGGTTTATATTTAAGCAATGAAACCCAGGTTTGTATAATTTTCACTGATGAATTTAAATGTTTATCTGATTAGTGCCTTTTCAAACAGAACTGAAGGTCCCAGAAGGACTAGATTAGTTGTACAGTACTTTCAATGTCTGCTTTACTTCAAACTAAGAGCAAATAAACATATTTAAGTTAAAATAACAGTGTGAGTTAGCTATACTACACTAATAGCATGGATGACTCCACAGTTGTTTTACTCTTCATTTCTTTCATATGCTACCAAGACATTGAAATCATTCCTGACTAAATATTAGGATCTTCCGAAAGTTTATTTCTTCTAGATTTATAGTAATGACTGTGCTTTTAATGACATGTCCACCTCACCTAAAATTATTATCTTTTAGAGAAGGTATGTTATAATTATTAAATATATTAAAAATTAAAATTAAAGAAAAATAATTATAGTTTTTCTCTACTGAACTACAAGATTTTCATTCCAAATTCTCTGTAATTTCATCACATTTAATTTGCACCAAACACAGATTTCAGGGAAAAGAGAATTGGCAATCTATATAATTTGTCCAGTGAAAGCACTATTAATGACAACATAGACAATCATTATGAACATTATATTTAAATTACTTGAATCTCAGGTCTAAAATTACTATAGCACAGGGTTACCTTTTTATTGATGTACTTTGGAACTAGCCCAGAAGTTTCAAGATCATGCTTGTCTCCAGTTCTTTTGTCAACATAAATTGGTTTAGGCTTTTTAGCCACTCCCATAATGACACCGGCTGCATTTGTACTGATAAAATTTTTTTCACTCTGTACTCCCATGACTGGATGGTCAGTCCTCAGTGGCACAGGAGGCTTCTTGGGCACTTCCCGCTCAAACTTTTTTTCTGTTAAACATACATTTCCTTGTTAATATCAAATTGTAAACATTGCTGCTCAGTGCTATATATAACATCCAGATATTTTACCACTAGTATATTGAAGTTTTATTAAGAATATTTTTAGCCCTGGCCGGTTTGGCTCAGCAGTTAGAGCATTGGCCTGCGGATGAGAGAGTCCTGGATTCGGTTCCCGCTAAGGGCATGTATCTCAGTTGCAGTTTGTCCCCAGCCCTGGTTGGGGTCATGTGGGTGACAACCAGTCGATGTGTCTCTCTCACATCGATGTTTCTCTATCCCTCTTCCCCCCTCTCTCCCGCCTGCTCTATCTAAAGATAAATGCAAAAAATGTCCTGGGTGAGGATAAAAATAAAATAATAATAATAATATATGTAAGTATTTAAGCTAAAAATCAGTAAGTATAAATGTAAAAATTAAGTGCAACATAATCAATATCTTGAAGAACAGTATAAAAACCTATGGGAAGAAGATAAGTACCCCCAAATCATATGCTAGGTAACTAATACATTTTATACATTTTAACTAGCTCTTGTGAAAAAATAATAATACATTTTAACTAGCTATCGTGAAAATATTTCCTTATAAAGATTTCAACAATAGTCCGGCCTGTGTGGCTCAGTGGATTGAGCATTGGCCCATGGACTGAGAGGTCCCAGTTCAATTCCTGGTCAGGGCACATGCCTGGGTTGCAGGCTCAATCCCCAGTAAAAGGCGTGCCGGAGGGAACTGATCAATGTTTCTCTCTCACATCGATGTTTCTATCTCTCTCTACTTTTATCTCTCTCTCAAAAATCAATAAAACATATTTTTAAAAATGTCAACAATAAAAGTTCAAGTTTCCCATTGAAAAAAATTCAAAGCAACATTAAAACTTTTTTTCTGAGTACTGTCAATATTACTAATAATTGCTTCATCCGAGGAAAGTTACTGTAAAATAACCACATAAATTTTAAAAACTTGATATATTGAAAGTCCAAGAATCTATGTTTTTCTTTCACTAAAACTACTATATTATTAGGTATAAAAATAATGTAATAGCTATGTACCCAACACAGAGCTTAACAAATAAAACATTACCAATATAATTGAAGTTTCCTATTCACGCCTTCCTGATTGCATCTCACAATAACTGCTCTCCACAATTTATTTTATTTCTCTATACCAAATTCTCTTCATTAGCAGCAGGTGAAACTATTCATTTTTACACAATCTCTGCAACCTGACTGTTCTAACTCATCTATTTTTACAGAGCCACATCAAAATGGTTTGTAAAATATTAAACTGTAAAATAATGATAATTTCTTTTCAAGAACTAAAGGCGACAACTCTCTTGAAAAATCTTACTCGAATCTTAACCATCACAATTACTAGGGACTTTGACTTTATTTATGTCTGCATTGTTGGAGCTTTTCATGAGATTATATAACCTTTAGTATTAAAAAAACAATACAGGATGGGCCCTGGCTGGTTTGGCTCAGGGGTTAAAGCGTCGGCCCACAAACCAGAGAGTGCCAAGTTCGGTTCCCGCTAAAGGGCACATACCTCAGTTGCAGTTTGTGTGGGTGGCAACCACTCAGTGTGTCTCTCTCACGTAGATGTTTCTTTCTCCCTCTTCCTCCCTCTCTCCCTTCCGCTCTATCTGAAGATAAATGCAAAAGTGTCCTCGGATGAAGATAAAAAACAAACAAAACAAAACAAAACAAGAACACAATACAGGATGGGAAAAAAGTAATTTTATAGTTGTAATACAAATAAATAATACAATAATTAAGAAATAATAATACAAGAATAAACTTTGTTTCATGTATTCACAACTGCAAACCTACTTTTGCCCCACCCTGTGCTTACTATTTAAAAACTGTTGCCCAGCTGGTGTGGCTCAGCGGTTGAGCGTTGACCCATGAACCAAGAGGTCACAAGTTTGATTCCCAGTCAGGGCACATGCCCAGGTTGTGAGCCCAATCCCCAGTGGGGGGCATGCACGAGATGGCCAATTGATGTTCTTTCTCATTGATGTTTTTATCTCTCTCTCCCTCTTCCTTCCTCTCTCTCTCTAAAAATCAATAAAGAAAAAATAAAGTTTATGAACTCGATTTACCTCTTGTTATGAGCATAACTGTGTTCCCCCAATATTCATACATTGAAGACCTAACCCCCAGTACCTCAGAATGTTATTGTATTTGGACACAGGATCTGTAAAGAGGTACTTAAGTTAAAATGAGGTTATTAGGAGGGACCCTAATCCAAGACACACACAAGGACCATGTGAAAAGACAGGTAAAAGACTGCCATCTACAAGGGAAGACAGGCCTTAGAATGAAACAACCCTAACAGCACCTTGATCTTGGCTCTAGTTCTCAGAATTGTGACAAAATAAATTTTAAGCTACCCAATCTGTGACACTTTGTTATGGCAACCCTAGTAAACCAATACACCTCTGATATTAGTTATATATCCCCAGAAAAATTATAAAGGAGTTTTGAATATTCATTTATTCATTAATTTATGCAACATATTTTTGTTGAGCAATTACAATGTCCCCAGGTAATGCTCTAGGAACTACATATACAGCAGCGAAAAGAGACAAAGTTCCTGTTCTCATGGAGTTGACATATAAGTAGGGGAAGAAAAAATAAATTTAATATGTAGAATATAGTGTATATATATGGTTGAACTATATGTGAAATTGTTTACTGTTTTTGACCTACAAAAATCATATCTTCTTTCTGCTTAGCACATTACTAAGGTATTGTGAGCATTGTTCAAAATTGAATTATGGAGTTTCTATGAAGCCTGGAGCAGAGAGTAAGACCTCACTGTGGAACCCAAATCGTTTCTTTCTACCAGATACACCTAACCAAAGAAGGTTTGCCTACAAAATCAGAGGTATCTATCTTCTAGATGTTCACATGGAAAATATTCAGAAGCCAAAATTAATTATGAATCAAAATTGCATTCAAATGACTCCTGTAACTATAAGAGAATCTACATCTTTAGAAATGTAGAAGAGGTGAAACTAAGTTCTCAGAAAATGAGGAAACCATTTATAAAGACTAATAATTCAATCTTAGGTGAGTAGTAAATTATAACTCTTGGTCGTTTGTGGTTGTCTATCTTACAGTACCTAAACCCTACCTCTGCCTTCCCCTTATGTTAGATGTATCTAAATATCATCTTGTCTCTCATCCCAGGAACAGGGGTTGACTATTGGGTAAGGCTTGGAAAATGGGATAAGGATGTCTCTTTACAAATTATTTGGTGATAGTGGTAAAAAATATGAAAACCAAATGGCTTGTTTTTTTTTTTAGGCTATGTCAAAATGGCAATGTCAACACGGCCTTGTAGTCAGGCAGATATTCTATCCATTGAATTTAGAGAAATGTTCATTTATCTGTTTTTTTCAGTGTATCTAGCAATGTACTGTCTTCAAAATTATATTAAAAATGACAGAATACTCAAAAAGAAATTGGCAGCAGCCTTGGCCTACATTAACTTTGAACTTTGCATCATTAGACTGAATTTATTAATTATTCTTACGGCCCATGCAATTTTGTATTTATTTACCTTATAATATTTATAAGAGGAGATATAGGTTTCTTTGCTTTCTCCTTATTTTATACTTAGGATTTATATAGTTTGGTAGTTGTGTTACATAATATGCTTAAACTTAGGATACATGAGGACCCAAGAAATATAATGGGTCCTAAGGCACTGAAAAAATGTCAAATTCCATTTTTACATTTTCTTGTGTTCTCAAGTGGTTGCCAGTCACAAAATACCAAGATTTCACCTGAGGAAGATACAAAATAAACTTAAAAAAAATCTTTTCAAATGTTTGCCAGCTATGGAGGGACCTGGAGAGTATTATGTGAATCAAAATAAGCCACTTAGAGAAAGAAAAGTACCACATGATCTCACTTATTTAGGAAATACAATGAACAAAATAATCTGATAATCAAAATAGATCCAGAGACATGGAAGTAGGGAACAGGCTGACAAACTTCAGAGGGAAGGGGGAAGCAGGGTGGGGTGGGAAGAGATAAACCAAAGAACAAAATAGACTTTTGAAGACATGAATTTAAGCATGAATGTTGTATTTTCCAACTTGCTTCTTCCATCTTTCCTCATAGTACTCTCATCCTTTGTCATGAGATATGGGTTATAAGAGAGGATTAAGGGACATAAAATATGGACATCGGGCTTGAGATGTTATTTCCTTGATGCCAGAAGACATAAAAAGGCTAACTTTTGAAAAGAGATGGGCTCATTTCCCTCTCATTTTTCTCGTCCTAAAGCATCAGGAAAGACATGCCCAGGATGGGAAGAAGCTGCTTCCACACATACAGGTCAGATATCCCTTTTCATTCACTCTCCATTTTTCTGATAGCTTTCTTTCCCCATATCTATATACTTTATGATCATAATTAATTACATAATTTGTGAATCCTAGTACAAAAAAATGTGAGGCTCCTTGATTAAAAACTATTGAGAATTTCAAGATTGCAAAAGCAGAACATTAAACCAAGCATGCAGTCCTTCTAAGCACGGGACCCTGTGTGACTGCACAGGTAGCATGTCCAAGAACTGACTCTGTCTACCACTCATTTATTAAGGCTCTTTCATTACATCCAACTTGTTTATTGTCTTAATGGTCTTAGATATCTAGAAGAGATAAGCCCATATTCAAACTTAAAGTAGTTACTTCAACAACTGATAGTAATGGTTGTAATTTTCATCTCTTGGAGAAAAGACACTTGCCCGTTGGGGTTTAGAACTCTTCTTGTAATTGTTATTGAATTCATATCGTTAGGGACTAAGATGGTGAGGCACGTGGAGGTCAGGCTATACTGGACAGTCTAAGATGTAGTTCATGATGCTTGCACCACCAAAAGGAAAGTCTATTTTTTGGGCAACTTAACAGTCTTTACTCTCTTTTTCTATACAGTCCCTATTTCTACTTTAGCCTCTCAAATTCTGTTCAATATGAGGTAAAGTTGCTATGATCTGTGCATATTCAGTATTCATAGACACTAAAATAATTTTAAATTACCTGTTAACATTGTTTATATTAAAAAAGAGTGATTAAACCTACTGGGTGGTAGAGTTCTTTCCTTTGAATGTTTCTTCAAAAAATCCTTTGGAGAAGGTAATTCAACTTTTGGTGGTCCCATAGTTTTCATTGCAGTTTTCCATTTTTGCATGTCCTCTTTTACAGCTGTTTTAAAAACAGACATGTACCTAAAATTAAAAGAAATTGCATTTAGATTTCTAGAAAAATTATTTAAAGTTTAAAATAGGATATATATTTCTAATTTGTGTAAGTCCATATTCATTTGGAGATAGCCATAAAGCATAATTGTCTGAGCCCTGTCTTTAGGCTTAGGCAAGCTGGAGGGAAGCTTTGCCCTAAGAAAGAGGTGGTAGGGTGAAGATATTCATAGTGTTTCCTTATTATTCTTTGAACATCTAAAGCAGCAATAATGATTTTACATCTTTCTCTCTCTCTCAGTATGGCTAGGGGTTTATTAACTTTATAGCTCTCCTCAAAGAACCAGCTTTGTATTGATTTTCTCTAATGTTTACATATTTTCCATTTCGATGATTTCTGCATTGATCTTTTCTATTTCTCCTTATTTTGGGTTTAATTTGCTTTGCATTTTCAAGTTTTTCAAGGTGCAAGTTTAGATATTTGACTTTAAACCTTTATATTTTTCTATTGCAAGTATTTAGAGCTATAAAATACCCTCTATGCACAGTTTTATAGCTGCACCCCACAAATTTTGATAACAGTGCCTTCATTTTTATTAACTCAAAATGCCTTTTTAATTCCCTTCTGATATCTTCTTTTGACTTAGTATCTTATTTAGATGTGTTGTTTAGTTTTCAAATATTTGGGGATTTTTCAGATATCTTTCTAATTTCTAACTATTTTCTATTGTGGTTAGAGATATACTTTCTATTATTTCAATCCTTTAAAATTTTCCAAGACTTGTGTTGTGGCAAAAAGTATGGTCTAGCTTAGCAAATGTTCTATATACCCTCAAAAAGAAAGTGTACTTTGCTGTTGTTAGTAGGGAGTGTTCTATAAATGACAACTGGGTCACACTGGTTGGTAGTGTTTTCAAGTGTTCTATTAATCACTGAAATTTCTGACTGCAATTGTGGGTTTGTCTATTTCTTCTTTTAGATCTATTAATTTTTGCTTTATATATTTTTGATACTGGTAGTAGTTGCATAGTATTACCATACCTTCTTCAAAAACTGACTATTTCATCATTATAAAATAATGTTTTTTAAATCTGTAAAAAAATTATATTCTAAAATCTCCTCTGTCTGATATGAATATAACCACTCCAGCATTCCTTTGATTTGTGGTAACATAGTATTTTTCCATTCCTCAACTTTTTACTTATTTATGTCTTTATTTTTAAAGGTTTTTTTTAAAATTTATGGATAGTAAACAAATTTTATCCTTTCTAACAATCTCTTTTATGTGGCATGTTTAGACCATTAACATTTAACGGGATTTAAAAAATGTTCATGTTTAAATTTTCAACCTTGCTGTTTGTTTTCTACATATCCCATTGTTCATTCTTTTTTAAAATCCTGCCTTATTGTTGTTTTTGTGGAAGTTCTAAGGTTTACAATATACATGTTTAACTTATCACAGCCTACATTAAAAAAATATTATACCATTTCACATGTGGTATAAGAACATTACAAAAGAATATTTGCATTTAGTCTTTGTCCTAATGTTGTAAGATATTTTACTTCCATATGTGTTATAAACCCATAATCATTGTGATCATTTTCCCTTTAAGAACCTGATTAATCATATTTTAAAGAAATCTTAAAAGAAAAAATAATAATTTACACATATACTTACCATTTTATGTTATTTCATTGTGTAAATACAAATTTCTGACTCATACCCTTCCTTGTGCATCAAGAATATTTTAACTTCTGGCTTCTATTGTTTTTAATGAGATATTTGCTGTCCTTTTATCCTCTGTATGCAGTGGGTTTTCCTTCCCTTGGCTACTTTTAAGCTTCTATTTTTTCTTTGTTACTAGTTTTAAGAAATTTGATTGTAATGTCTCTTGGTATGATGGTGTTCTTCTCCTTTTCCTTCTTCTTCCCCTCCTCCTTCATTGTGATGTTTGAATTTAGGGATTTCATTAAATTTGCCAGTTCTTTTTGCCATTATTCAAATATGTCTTCTGTTTACCCATCTCTCTCTTCTCTTTCTGGGATTCTAATTACACTTATGTTAGGCAGCTTGATGTTCTTTACAGCTCACTGATTGTTTTCCTTTTCTATTTTTTCTGTTTCACTTTGTATTGTTCCTTTACCATGTCTTCGCATTCAACAATATTTTCTTCTTCAGTGTTTATTTTCATTTTAGACATGGTATTCTTTACCTCTGTAAGTTAGACTTAGATCTTTTTCTTTTTAATCCTTCCATTTCTCTGTATTTTGCTGATGTTTTCCTCCACTACCTTTTTGAACGCATGGAGAATATTTAAAATAGTGGTTGTCATATCCTTGTCTACTAATTCTCTCATTGATGCTAGTTCTTTCTGTTTGTATTGACTGGTTTTTCTCTTGGTTATGCATTGTATTTCTGGGTCCAGAAGAGCTTTAGTCTAGGTCTGATTTGGCTTCATAACTGAGGCAATATATTTCTGAGTGCACTACTCAATGCCCTGTATCTTAGGTGTTTCCAATCTGGCTGGTAGGAATATGAACTTTATTCGGCTCTGCTGCCTTCTGTTCCTTATTTCCCTGGCCTCAGTAGTTTCATCACACACGTGTACTGTCAACCAAAGACTTCAGGGAACTCCTCCCACATATTTCCATCTCTCTCTCTCTCTCTTTCTCTCTCTCTCTCTGCATCTCTGCAGTTCTTACCTCTCCTGTACTCTTTGTTGTGAATTCTACATGCCTTGTCTTGACCTTCCTGAACCCTAAACTCTATCTTTATTAACTCAGAGAAACCACTAGGTTCCTCTTCCCCTTCTCTTGGGGATGATTGCTCTGTGCTGCCTATTATCCAGTGTCTGAAAACCACTGTTTTATTTATTTTTGTTGTTTAAGGTGAGAGGATAAATTCCATCCTTGATTGGAAGTAGAAGTTCAGCTAAACCACTTTTAACAACTTGTTTTCTCTTTATACTTATGTGGATAAGTTTGTTTGAAGAAACATGAAATTGTTTCTTGCTTTTAGGAGCCTTTCATCAATCTTGAACTCAATGGCTACAAATCAATTACGGTCCACATTGAATGAACTCATTAGATGCCTTAAGGAAATAATGTTCGATCCAAACCCATGCCTTAACATTCCCATGGAAGTTGGAATTGGCAGATATGATCTTTTGATTAATAAAATATTCCTTTGGGGTAAAAAAGAAGTGTGTATATTTTTACCACTTTTTAATTTGCAATCTTATGATTCAACACATTATTTTGTGTGAGATCAAAGTTTACGCATCTGTTATAGAAAATAAGATATTCAATTCTATATGGATGATTTTTTATTTTCCTAAATTAAAAAAATAAATTAAATTAATATAATGTCAACTATATCTCAGTTTTTAAAATGAATAAAAACCTAGGTTCTAGCCATTTCCTCAATCCATTTTCCAGAATAAATTTTGTTTTCTGTATTTCTTTTTATGTATGAATTGTAACTTAATTCTAAAAACATAATATAATGTGATATTTTTCCATATTAGTACATGTAAAGCTTAGACATTCTTTTAAATAACTACATTTTATTCCATTTTTTGAATGGTATGGCTCTATTATAAAGGTCTAGAAAATGACTTTATTAGACCACACATTCTACTTTTTACTAGATGTGAGCTATAGATTAATTATTCTAAAACTAAAGTTGTCATTTTCAATAAACATACCATAATTTCATTTATTTTATTTCTAATAATCACCACATAGTCAGTCATATCAAATCTTTAAATATACATTTGTAAAGCATTTTATTTTAAAGAGTACACAGAGAAATACTGACCAAAAGTTGGGACGGTTTGATAACGCTTGATTGAAATTTTTTTTCCTAATGGGTTAGATGGGCATGTGGTTAACTAGTTTTTGTTTTTAAATTTTGAGCCAATAGTATTATAGTGTTTCTCTACTGCATAGAACTTTGGGACCCAGATTATATTAGAAAGTCCTTAAAATTATTTCTTGAAGAGAATTTCGTCTATATACATAGAAACACCTTAAGCCTATCTGAAGGCGTTAGTGATAGTCTTCAATTCAGCCTCATGACTATAGCAAATAATTCAATTTCCACAAATGAATGTCAGTTCTACTCCCAGCTGTGCTCTGCACTTAGTTGACAACCCATGTATGTGTCATTGAATATAATTCTGATCTTACTGCTGTTCAAGACTTATTGCAAGCTGTTGAAAGAAATAACAAATATGGTAAATTATTAAAAGGATATGTAATTGTTGTATTCATTTATATTTGTGCTGGACAATACTGTAGTTACAGCGACATGTGGATATTGAGCACTTGAAATGTGGCTATGCTATATGTTTAAATTATAGTATTTTAGACATATTGGGTTAAATAAAATGTCATTAAAATTAATTTTACATGTTTTTTCTATCTTTTACATGTGGCTATTAGAAAATTAAAAATTGCATATGTGGCTCACATTTTATTGGACAGTGCTAACATAGAGATCAGAAAAAAAATCAATCCTTGAATTAAACAATATAGTCAAATAGTTGCATACCCAGACACATCATACCCATGCCTCGTTGTTTTGGTATGAGGTCTGTAATGAGAGCAATATTTGATCTATGGAATTAAGTATATTTAATGTAATATTGTGACTAAAATCATTATTCATTACATTACACACAGTGCTTCTCCTCTCTATGAACCATGGAGGAAGTGTAATCCTGGCTTTCTACCAAAATTACTACTGCTTTGCTTTTTTTTTTTTTTATGGAAAATGCGACTTAGAGTTTAAGTGATCTTCAGAGGTTCATGGGAAGAATATTTCTGCCTTTGTGGATTGCCCAGTTTCTAGTTAGCACTGAGCCAAATTTGTATCAGATTTCAAGAAAACATGCAATGTTTTATTTTATTATTATTATTTTTTAAATCCTCACCCGAGGATACTTTTTTCCATTTATCTTCAGATAGATTAGGAGGGAGGGAGGAGGAGAGAAAGAGAGAGAGACACATCGATTGCTACCTCCTGT